TCAAGTTTCAAGTTGAGTAAAGAGTTTAAAGTTGAGTTCATTTCTCAAAGTTATTAGGGAACTATGTATTCCCAAAGAAGTTTTAAAGAAATGTCTTTACATTTAAACAAGGTTGGAAACTGAGATTTCCAAAGAGCCTTCGGGATAGTTTTTTTTTGAGTAATTATCTCAATCAGCAGGAAGACATATGTTTTAAAAACATAAGAGCCAGTACATTTTTGGGAGTAGTATCGAGCACCGAATTGGGGGAGCGTTCAAAGAACCCATAGCCCCCATAGAACCATGTTAGCCACCATGGGTAGAAAATGATCATACTTTTTAGATGAATCCTTTTCATATTAGACTAGTGGATCCATTAGGCAGTTCATGTCTTATACCTTTGGCCGGGTATAAGATGCTCTGGCAGCGTGAGGTCGATCGCTGTATCATCACTATAACTCTTATGTGATGGTTGTCGGTTAGAGAAACTCCCACAGCAGTTATTGTATTTTTATACAGAAATTATTGTATTTTATATACATCAGTTCAATTGTATTTCTATATACATCTCAGGCTTATTGTATCCTTGTATACACACAGAGTTTATAGCATGTTTTAAACAGTCTTTCTTTATATCACACTTGTTTTAAATTGCCTTATATTGAAAGAAGTCAGTCAGGTTGAGTTGAGTTGAGCAAGGTAAACTTTTCAGTTTCTTCCAAATTTTCTTCTAGCCTATGTTGCTTAGTTTTCCAGCTCGCATACTCGTACATTCCATGTACTGATGCCAGTTGGCCTGCATCGTCTTATGATGCAGATACAGGTACCCCGGATCAGCTTCCTGCACATCGTTGATCCAGCTGAGCACTCCAGAGTCAGTGGTGAGCCTCCTTGCATTCCGGAGTACTCAATTATTTTGTGTTCTTAGTTTTTATTTTATTAGGATGTTGCGGGGTCTGTCCCAACATCCATCTCAATATTTTAGAGGCTTCATAGACAGACAGTCAGTCAGTTAGTTTTGAGTCTCTTATCTATGTATATATGTAAATATTCTATTTTGAGATTCGAGTTGCCTTTATGGCCATATTTTATAAGTTAAGTTGTTTTGTAATATTGCATTGCATTGAGTTATTCTGTTGGGTTAGGTTTCCGCTGAGTTAAGAAAGCCAGGCCAAGGGTTCGCTTGGAGCCAGAAATGGTCTCCGGGTGCTGGTCCCGCCCAGGGTGTAGGCTCAGGGTGTGACACAATGTTCAATGAATTAGGAAATGGATCGCAGGTAGTGCGATACGGAGGACAGACGTTTACACCAGCGGGTGAACCATATAGTCCACCCATGGGAAATGGTAATTTTCAGGATGGCAATCCACACACCACTTGTCATATGCGTCAAGTCCTGTATGGAGTGGGTTATAATCAAGAAGTTCAACCCGATGAATCGTTGGTTCAAACTCATCAATCTAAATGTTACCATGAATGAAGTCAACATAATGCTCATGATGATTACTGGGATTATAATTTTTTGTTTGGGGGTGGTGGTTTTTGCTAAGATGCACCAACTGTTTGTATTGTATTGATATATAAAATTAAGAAGCTATTATATTAGTTCTTGCAATTGCAATTTCAATTTATTTTGGGTGATTCAATACTTGATGTGCCTGATATTGAAAACATATTATTTAGGAGAATTGACAATTATGTCAATTCAAACTCTTTTCTCAATTAGCTAACAAGTGTGGCGAGACAAATGTGATTTTTGCATCCTAAATAAGATAATTTTTTCAGTTTGAGCTTAGGAATAGTGAAATTCCTGACAGAAAACACTTTCTCCTGTGAACGCTGCAATGCGTAAAACACTCTACTTTGGGATTGCAAGGCACAACTTAAATGTAATCGCAATGGATGAAAGTCCTATAACAAAGCCATTAACAACAGACTACACGGAATTGAGTATACAACAATCGATTGGTTGCATCTTCCAGGCAAACTAATAGCCAGATTATTATATGGTTGTTGGAACCGTATGTTGGTCAGACGTATGACACAAATAAACTGAGTTATGGTGCTTTAAGCAAATAGATTATGATGTTTTGTGTAAGTGGGTTGCTGTATGTGAGCTTGTTCTATTTGAGAGAACACACTTTTATTGGTTAATTGTATTCTCAACACACCCTCTCACATATGGGCCTTTATTATGCTTTTTGATAATGGGTGGTGGTGAGAATTTGTTTCTTGTTCTTTTATAAAGGCAGCGTTATTGATGTAGGTCTGTATATTGGTAATTATTGTGTTGTCTTCTGTTGAGTCCTCACTGTGTTTATATTGTTGTCATGATTTCTGAAGTTTGCTGGTCTGCTTCTAATCTATAGTTCCTAATACCTGTGAATTGAGCTGTCATCCTAGTGTCTTTTCGAGGAATTTGATTATTTTTGTTTGTTTTTTGGAGCTATTTTTGTGGTTGCTTTTTTCGATGGTGCATCTGATTATTGCATATACTGGATACTCCCAACTTAGCCCTTAGATCTTCAAATTTCTCCTTAGGAAGAGCCTTGTCATGATGTTTGGAATCTGCTGATCTGAGCTGCAATGAACAAGTTGAAGTTCGCCATCCTTCTCTGTTTGCCTGGTAGCGTGAAACTTCACATTTATATGCTTGCTATGACCATGTTGCACTAGATTTTTGGCCATAGATATTGTTGACTTGTTGTCAACCTTAATGACAGTAGCTTCAATGTCATTTTGCTCCAGATCACGTAGAATCTTTCTTAACCATAGACCCTGATTAGTTGCACCAGCAGAAGATTGAGCTACCACCTCTTGCTTCTTTGAATTCCATGAGGACATGCCTGAACCAAGTATAAAAGCATATCCAGAAGTGCTTTTCATATCAACGCTTCCTGCCCAATCACTATCCCATCAGCTGCCCTTGCTTTTCCCTTTTAAACCAAATACCATAATCAATCGTTCCTTTGATATATCTCAAAGTTCATTTAGCAACACCAAGATGAACTTGACTTGGAGCTTGCATAAGCCGCGAATATGAGATCGGGTCTTATTGCTGTCAAATACAGCAAACTATCAATCAGACTTCTATAAACAATTTCTAAACTACAGAAAGACATTCTTCTTTTTCTCAAGATTCTGAATCTGCTGCTAGCGCTCTTCACAGCCCGTCTTCTTCAGATTACTTACCCAGAATTACTCCAAGTATGTTCAAATTTCATTGCGCTCGTTAGAGCTGCATACATGATTTTAAATTTATGAGTTATCAATTTGTGGAACAGCGAGGATCCGTTTCTTTCATACGGTTTAGATCCAGTAGTAGAAATATAAAATTAAATTATCTAAACTCGATACAATAATTGCAGGTCAGGATGATTCAGCTGTAATTATTCAGAAGAGGAAATTGGGGAAGAAGGCAAAAAGTTATGCATATAGAATTCGTGAGCATGGTACGTACTGCATCTAATTCTAATACTAGTATTTACTTTCCGTTTCTATTTGTTTGTTGTACTTTTTTTAAACTAAATTTTCCTTTTCTGCTTCTTTACATCAAAACAATTCGATTTTTTTTGTTACAGTGAAATTGGGTTCGAAGTTTTCAGACATGAGCATTCTTGTATTTAATTGATGTCAGTAACTTTTTAGCTGAAAGTGCTCTTCTATTTATTTGATTTTCACCCTTGCCTCTGCTTTATCAGATAAAACCTCATGGCCATGGTGACGTCCATTCACTTCTTTACTCAAGTGGCCTTCTTAAAGTTTGGTATGTTTTCACTCCTTCTCGACCTTTTTGTTCCATCTTTTTCTTTCTTTTTTGTCATTCTCATCCACTCTGATGTTATTTGGATGAACAAATGAACTAGCCCCTTTTAGCCTACATAAATGTTAATCAGTTAGAGAAAGATGGATACCTTTATGGACCCTAGCTTGTAGTGTATCCATCTTCAAAGTAAAAAAAACGAAATTCATATTACCAAGGCTTTTTTTCCATCGTTTTGCAGAAATAAAAACTGATGTAAAACCTTTTATGTAGCCTGTATCTACATCACTAGTGCATCCAGTTTGTATTGATTTTTCAAGAGGTGCTTTCACTTAAAAATAAAGAGCGTTAACGTATTTCTGTGATTTGATGGTCCAAATTTTGTGCAATCTAGGCATGATGCAGGCTTAGGATGGATCCTTTTTTTCCAGGACACCAACGGTCTACTTTTCAAGGTTAGTTGTATGCCTTTTTCTTTTTTGTTTTTTTCAATTGTATCATATTCTGCTCATGTATGTTAGGCCAATTTTATCAATCTGTACATTTCATTGTCTTCCAGGCAATTCCAGCAGCACTAGGCGTCAGTACGACAAAACAATACCATGTCAATTCTCTCGCTGTTCCTTGGAAAGCAAAAGAAACCATTGGTGGCATTACCAAGCTTACTCATAAAGATGGTGCGTAGATAAGTTGTTTACTTCTACCTTTTCATCTCCCGGGGAAAAGGTCAGAAAAGAAGTAATAAATGCTGAAAAGAAATGGAAGCAGGGGTCATAGCATGGGCTTCCTTTTTGTTCAGTTGTTTATTACAACTATATTTTAGTGGCAAAAATTATTAAATCTAATGGGTGTCATGGGAAGTTTCCTGCTTTCGTAAACTGAACTTTGCAAAGTTAGTAGCCAAATCTCTTACCAGGTCGCAAAAATATTAGGATACTTGAAAATGTCCAACAAGTTGGTTATGCTCCTTTTAGTTGGTCATCTATAAACTTCCAAAAACATTGAAGCTGGTCTTGTGAAGATAATTGTAGATCAGGATCTGTATGTTTATTCCTGTTTGCTTCGGTACCTCATGCTCCATTTGTACAGGGCATGAGTGGGAGAACATAAAAATATCATAGATGAGCAAAAATTGAGCAAAAATTGATTCTAGAGATTGTTCTTTTGTGCTTAGGTCTTCTAATGTGTATGCTAACATTTATTTTGGAGTCTTTTCTGTTTCATCTGTGATATTCTCCAGGAGTAACCGACCTTTTTCTGTTTTTCTTGTTACCATCAAATTTAGTAGGGAATTTATTGAAAATTTTGAGACAATTATCAGATTTTGTTGAAAAAGTTGCTGGTTCTTATTGCCTGTTGAGACAATTGACATCTAAAGTTTGTAGTAGATGTACATGTTTGTATATGAACGGCAAGAGAAAGGTCTCTTTTCTTCTAGTCTTGTTAGTTTCTAGAGTGCAAGCATGCATACATGTTAAATTTCTAGTAAACCAAGAAGGTTGGATAGTGAGTTTGCGCTTATAATCCCATATTGTGTTCAAGTATAATATTTGCGTAAACAGTGAATCCGATCAGCTATTTGGTGTTTTGGGCTAAAATCATCCCTGAAGTATAGCCCAAACTTAGGATACATCCTTTAAGGTATTATTGTGAACAAAAACATCCTTTAACTATCTTAAACTTTGCGGCAAACATCCTTTTGTTAAAAAACTAACAGCTGAAATAAAAATCATATGTAAAGTACATGAATTCCCCCAAATCTCCATATTCAGTGGATTGATCATCTTCATCCTCCAGGAACGATAATGCACAATAGTTCGACTTTATTTATGCTTTTGGGCAGAAAAATAATTAGTTCCAAGCAAAAGAGTTTTGTACTTTATGAAAGGTTAGGATGCTAGTTTTTATTTTTGTCTGTCTTTATGGTCTTGAAAGAAGTATTGTATTTATAAAGGGCAAATAGAAATAACCATGTTCAAGATCTGCTATGGCAATGTAAAATGCCCTCTACTTATTTGATAAGAGGTCTGAAAGAGATTACAGGCATATTGCATATAAATTTCCAAGTCTCATTGCCTTCTAATTGAGAGAAAATCAATTCGACCGAATATAGGGATTTGGGAAAATCACATGCTTGACACATTTTTATTTCACCATTTAGTTTTTTAACAAAAGTTAACATAAGGATGTTTATTGCAAAGTTTAGAATAGTTAAAGGATGTTTTTTGTTTACAATTATACCACAAGGATGTACCATAAATTTGGGCTATACTTGAAGTATGATTTTAGCCCAAAATGTAAAGATCACATCACAAAATTCACACAGTGAACGAGAATTTTCCTAGAGGTATTTGGTTATTAGGTCTGTTGACACTCAATTTTGGCCCTCCACAATATTAATCAATCATGTGCTTCTTCAATTTCAAACGATTTAAAATAATTAGTTTTACTAAATTTCAAAAAAAAAATAATAATATAGTTTGTAAGTTATTTTAAATATATTTGTCACTTTTTTATAATTTTTTAAATAAAATATATGTTTTTGCATAATTTTGTAGATAATTAGTACATTTTTGTGAATATTCAGAAATATTCTCAATTTTTTTTTTTTAGTTTTAATTAAATATTTGGTTAATTAGTTTAGTTATATAATAGTTTATAATTAAGTTTATTATTTTATTTCGTTGACATTAAGAAGCTCATTAATTAATTTAGGCAGAATGACCTAGTAGACCCTTATACTTGATTCTGTTTGTAAGTTGGACCCTTATACTTATGATTTTGTCAACTAAACCCTTAGGGGTCGTTTGGTTTGAAAATGAGTTATGATGGGATAAATTATGATGGGATAAGTTGTGTTGAGATTATTTTATATTGAGTGTTTGGTTTGTTGTATTCAAAATAATAAATTTTAAGAACAATTTATTTGTTTACAAAAATGCCCTTCATTAATGTAAAAAGTGATATAACAAAAGGGTTGAAAGAGACATTTTTGTCATTTACCTATTTTATCCCAGGATAAGTTATCCCGGGATTACTATACCACCCCAAGAGAGGGATAACTTATCCCGGTATTAATTATTAATCCCGGGATAAGTTATCCCGAACTTGCCAACCAAACAACAAAATAAGCGGTACTATAATTTAATCCCGGGACTATTTGGTATTATCCCTCACACCAAACGACCCCTTAAACTCACTAAAACAATATTTTAAACCCTTTCCTCATCCTATGTGTGTGCGTGTGGTACACTCATTTACATGTAGGATTCCACGTCATTTTTAATGACACATAAGAAATTAAATTTTAAACAAATAAAATAAAAATAAAAAGTGTAACCTGGAAAATTTGACCATTATTTTCTCCATTTTTGCTCTCAAATTGAGCACCAAATTCATGTCAAATGGGTGGAATTCTTACCTATTTGACCTGAATTTTACACTATTGGTTCACAAACACAAACCCAACAAATCTCTATACAATTTTAAATTTATTTCATAAATTACAAAACCCATTTGTTATTCTTGAAGCTTCATCAAGCTTATCAATGGATCAATATGGGTTGTGGTGCATTGGTGGGAGTGCTTCCCTTAACCAGATGTCTCGGGTTCGAGCCCTGGGTATGGAGAAAATCCTGTTGAGAGTGTCACCCCTGAATGGGTCTGCAGTGTGCGATCCAGATTTAATCGGAGCTCCAATGTGGACTTCGAACACCGGGTGGGAAACAAAAAAAGAAGAAGCTTATCAATGAAGTTTTTCATTTTTCAATACCTACTAACACCAAAGAATACACACGAATTTGAGATTTTGAAAGAAGAAGTATGGCAAAACGAAAAGAACTAGGAGGGACGTTGATTTTCAGCAAATAATGAATTTTGCGAAAATATTTAGGGGTGGAACAGTGTGCGAGGGTGTTAAGATATGAAGAAGGAAAATGGTGGGTAAATCCAAAGATAGAAGTGGAATGGGTTTAAGAAATTTGGTTGGGGGGTGGGGGTGGGTGTCGTTGCTTTGAAGAAGATGACTTCCCTTTTTTTTGGGTGTTCTCATTTATTTATTTTTAAAAATTTTAATATTTTTTTCATATAAATTTATACATACTTGCTTTAAAACACGTGAAATCATGCATCATTCCAAGTCAGCAATATTAATGCCACATGTATTCAACCAATGGTCGGAGGTGTTTAATATATTGTGTTTCAGTGAGTTCAAGGATCCGGTTGGCTAAATCGTAAGTATAAGGGTCCAACATACAAACGGAGCCAAGTACAAGGGCCTCCAAGACCATTTCGCCATTAATTTATATTAATTCATCTTATTTAGTTTTTAGCCGAATCACCAATTAAACTCAATTTGGCTAACTTCTTAAATTCGAGAAAATGATCAAAATGGTCCCTAATATATGAGGGTTACTTTATTTTGATCTTTAATATATTCCACTTGATTCATATGGTCCTTAATGTATTATAAAAGATACTCAATTTGGTCCTTTGTCCTAAAAGTAACAAATCCATTTGTTAAATTTAACGTCGGGACCCACTAAAAAATAAAATACCAAAAGCTCCCTTTCTTATTCATTCTCTACGTCTTCCCATCGAAAGCTCTGTTTCAGAGAGCTTGTGCGTTTTTTTTTACCTTAGCCATCAAAAGGATCCCTCTTCCACTTTTAAAAATACTACTTCTCAAAAGTATGATTTAGATAATTGAGTTCTGCTTTTGATAAACATCAAAGGACCGATTTCATCTTGTTTTATATAATTTGTGAATTCATTTTTACAATGCCTTCAACATGAAATTTGCTTGGTTGATGCTTCATCAACCCCTTATGACAAATTTTAAAGCTAAAAAATGTTGCCTCAAACATAGGGACACAGGGTCTGTTAAAAAAAATTGTGACGACAACACATATACAATTGGCTCTCACTAGAGACATTAACAATTCTAAATATAGAATCAAATCTTATAATGTCAATAACAATGTAAAAAAATAAACTAATTTTAACTTAATTATAAATATAATTTTTTTAGAAATCCTAATTTTGGATTAGGGCTAATAAACCATGGGAACCGAGGATGGGTGGAGGAGGGACTGAATTGGAGAGCAACGGCTGGCTGGTGGACGAGCGGCGGTGTGTCGATGGCCTAGAGCACTATAATCGCCGGAGAAGAGAGAAGGGAGAAGAATTAGGCCAAGCTTTTCAGCTATGCCTGATGAAGGAAGAAGGGAGCTTTTGGTATTTTATTTTTTAGTGGGCGGGACGTTAAATTTAACTTATGGATTAGTTATTTTTAGGGCAAAGGACCAAATTGAGTACCTTTTATACATGAAGATTAAGGATCAAAATAAAGCAACCCTCATACACGAGGGACATTTTGGTCATCCGATCGGGAGAAGCAAAATGAAATAAGGATTTGGCTGAAAAAGAAGCAAGGCTATGGATACCATGACCGACGGGCATCTTAGAATAAGAAAGGATTGTTCCTGATCCGAAATTCTCTCTTAATTCCCATTGGCCAAGTTTGCAATTTATTTTTCCAATACTTTGCTCCTTGATTTGGCCCAAATTCCACTCCATTCTCAAGACCCTTCAGCAATACCAAAGAGCGACCCAACATCTTTCAATTTTCCAGCCCAATTACTTTCATTCCGAAAAGCCCAATTTTTAAGCAACATTACATACAACAATATCCAACACTAATTCAACCCAACTTCTTTGCAAGAAACCGGTACGTGACCCATCTGCAAATCCATAATCCTAGCAACCTAATCGATCACATTGTTGTTCCCTTTTCCCCCTTTTCAGGGATTTTCAAATCTTTTCCACTAATTGGCTTTGAAAAGAAGAAAGAAATTGAAAAGATTTAAAAAAAATTCAACGGATTTCCCCCAAAATCACCCCATTTAGTTAGTTGATTGTAGTTATTTTCTTCCTTTGCTTATAATGAGTTAGTTGGCTATTGCCTCCAATTTTTGACTCTTTAGTATAACAAAACTGGTAGCTTTAAAATCCCCATAGATAAATCTAGTGTCGTTTATTATATGACTAGAAGGGATTAATTTTATTCAACTTGGATAAAATTTGTAATAAAAAGAGTTACAATTTTTCTATTGATTGAATGGTAGCAACGTATACAAATTAATTAGAGGTATCCCAAGTATCCTTACTATAAGTTGAGAAAGTAAACAAATCTTCAAAAGTAAATGCCCTTTGTAGTTCAGTGATGAAGAACTTTTGAGGATGAAATAACTGAATTCTCGCTCTTGTGAAAAAACAAACCTGCAATGTATGTTTCGAAGTAGACTTTAAACACCAAAGTATA